GGTTACTGTTGTCACAGTTGTCACCGTTGTCACTTTTGTCACTGTTGTCACCTTTTTCACCGTTGTCCCCGTTGTCACCGTTGTCACTGTTGTTACTGTTGTTACCGTTGTCACCGTTGTCACCGTTATCACCGTTGTCACTGTTGTCACCGTTGTCACTGTTGTCACCATTGTTACTGTTGTCACCGTTGTCACTGTTGACACTTGTGCCACTGTTGTCACCGTTGTCACTGTTGTCACTGTGGTCATCGTTGTCACTGTTGTCACTTTTGTCATCGTTGTCACTGTTGTCACTGCTGTCACCGTTGTCACTGTTGTCACTGTGGTCATCGTTGTCACTGTTGTCACTTTTGTCATCGTTGTCACTGTTGTCACTGTTGTCATCGTTGTCACTGTTGTCACTGTTGTCATTGTTGTCATTGTTGTCACCGTTGTCACTGTTGTCACTGTTGTCAATTTAGTCACTGTTGTTATCGTTTTCACCGATGTCACCGTTGTCAGTGTTGCCACTGTTGTCATTGTTGTTACTGTTTTTACCCTTGTCAGCGTTGTCACCGTTGTCACACTTGTCAATGTTGTCGATGTTTTCACTGTTGTCACCGTTGTCACTATTGTCACCGTTGTCACCGGTGTTAGTGTTGTCGGTGTTGTGACTGTTGTGACTGGTGTCACCGCTGTAACAGTTTACACAGTTGTCACCGCTGGCACAGTTGTGACCGTTGTCACTGTTGTCACACGTGCCACCCTTGTCACTGTTGTCACTGTTGTCACCGTTGTCACCGTTGTCACCGTTGTCACCGTTGTCACTTTTTTCACTGTTGTCACCGTTGTCACCGATATCACCGTTGTCACCGTTGTCACCGTTGTCACCGTTGTCACCGTTGTCACTGTTGTCACCATTGTTACTGTTGTCACCGTTGTCACTGTTGACACTTGTGCCACTGTTGTCACCGTTGTCACCATTATCACAGTTGTTAGTGTTGTCAATGTTGTCACTGTCTTTACTGTTGTCACGCTTGTCACCATTGTCACTGTTGTCACCGTTGTCACTGTTGTCACTGTTGTTACCGTTATCACCGTTGTCACTGTTCTCACTTTTGTCACTGCTGTCACCGTTCTCACCGTTCTCAGTGTTGTCGGTTTTGTCACTGTTGTCACCGTTGTCCCTGTTGTCACTGTTTTCACTTGTGTCACTGTTGTCACTGTTCTCACCATTGTCAACGTTTTCAGTGTTGTCACCGTTGTCAGTGTTGTCAGTGTTGTCACTGTTGTCACCATTGTCACCTTTGCCACTGTTGTCACTGTTGTCCCAGTTGTCATCGTTGTCACAGTTGTTACTGTTGTCACCATTGTCCCTGTTGTCACCGTTATCACCGTTGTCAGTGTTGTCGGTGTTGTCATTGTTGTCACTGTTGTCACCGCTGTCACTGTTGTCACTGTTGTCACTGTTGTCAATTTAGTCACTGTTGTTATCGTTTTCACCGATGTCACCGTCGTCAGTGTTGCCACTGTTGTCACTGTTGTTACTGTTTTTACCCTTTTCACTGTTGTCACCGTTGTCACACTCGTCAATGTTGTCGATGTTTTCACTGTTGACACTGTTGTCACCGTTGTCACTATTGTCACCGTTGTCACCGTTGTTAGTGTTGTCGGTGTTGTGACTGTTGTGACTGTTGTCACCGTTGTAACAGTTTACACAGTTGTGACCGTTGTCACTGTTGTGACCGTTTTCACCGTTGTCACACGTGCCACCAGTGTCACAGTTGTCACTGTTGTCACTGTTGTCACCGTTGTCACCGTTGTCACAGCTGTCACTGTTGTCACGGTTGTCACTGTTGTCACCGTTGTCACCGTTTTCACTGTTGTCACTGTTGATACTGTTGTTACCGTTGTCACTGTTGTCACTGTTGAACCCGTTGCCAATTTTTTCACTGTTGTCACCGTTGTCACCGTCGTCACCGTTGTCACCGTTGTCACCGTTGTCACTGTTGTCACCATTGTCACTGGTGTCGCCGTAGTCACTGTTTTCACTGTTCTTAGCATTGTCATCGTTGTCACTGTTGTCACTGATCTCACTTTTGTCACTGTTGTCACGAATGCCACCGTTGTCAGTGTTGTCGGTGTTGTCACTGTTGTGACTGTTGTCACCAATGTCACTGTTTTAACTATTTTCACTGTTGTCACCGTTGTCACCGTTGTCAACGTTTTCAGTGTTTTCACTATTGTCAACTTTGTCACTGTTGTTAGTGTTGTCGGTGTTGTCGGTGTTGGGACTGTTTTGACTGTTGGCAACGTTTTCACTGTTGTCACTGTTTTTTCCATTGTCACCGTTGTCACCGTCGCCACCGTTGTCACCGTTTTCACTATTGTCAACTTTGTCACCGTTGTTAGTGTTGTCGGTGTTGTCGGTGTTGGGACTGGTTTGACTGTTGGCAACGTTTTCACTGTTGTCACTGTTTTTTCCATTGTCACCGTTGTCACCGTTGTCAAAGTTGTCGGTTTTGTCACCATTGTTATCTTCATCACTGTTGTCACTGTTGTTACCGTTGTCACCGTTGTCACCGTTGTCACCATTGTCACTGTTGTCACTGTTCTCACCGTTGTCACCGTTGTCACTGTTGTCACTGTTGTCACTGTTGTCACTGTTGGCACCATTGTCACTGTTGTCACCGTTGTTAGTGTTGTCGGTGTGGTCACTGTTGTGACTGTTGTCAACGTTGTCACTGTTGTAACTGTTTTTTCCGTCTTCAATGTTGAAACTGTTGTCAACGTTGTCACCGTTGTCACCATTGTCACTGTTGTCACTGTTCTCACCGTTGTCACCGTTGTCACTGTTGTCACTGTTGTCACTGTTTGCACCATTGTCACTGTTGTCACCGTTGTTAGTGTTGTCGGTGTGGTCACTGTTGTGACTGTTGTCAACGTTGTCACTGTTGTCACTGCTGTTACTGTTGTCACTGTTGTCACTGTTGTCACTGTTGTCACTGTTGTCACTGTGATAAAAGTGTGGACAAGCCTACACGACTCCTGCAGTTCGCGGATGAATAAATTCTAATAAAGCCTTCATAGCTTAGCTTTAACTAGGATGTCCTTTAGGGATTTTCCCTTACGGTATGAGATGATGGGGGGCTCCTTAAAGATTTCTCTCAGTTGCGGTTGGTTTTCTATAAGGTGCCATTTCCCCATGAGTGTGTCCTTTAGGTTAGGCAAAGCCGGATGGTATTGTGTTACAAAGGGCAGTATTTTCTTAGGTGCGGTTTTGTTTTTCTGCGCTAGCGACATTTCTCTATCAGAGAATTTAATCTCTGAAAGGTGTTTTTCTACAATTCTAGCTGGGTAATCTCTATTCTGCAGGCGTGTTCTGAAATTACTCATGTTTTCCTCAAAAGTAAATTGAGAGGAATTTGTTGTCAGAAGCCTTAACGCCTCTCCTTTTATAAAGCCTTTCGTGACGCCTGGTTGGTGACACGAATAGAAATTCGTGTATTGAAACGTTTCTGTAGCTTTGAAATGCGTTCGCACGTCAAGAATAGATTCCTTTTTGAATCTGTCACCTTTGTACACTTTCGTGTCTAAGAATGTGGTTTCTGTTTCTGAGATTTCAGCCGTGAATTTGATCGTTGGGTGAAAACTGTTTGCCTTTACAAGGAAATCCTCTATTTTGTCTCTGCTTGTGTACCACATAGATATGACGTCATCTATGAATCTTTTCCAAAAAATTGGTTTTGTGGTGCTTTGTCTGAGTATTTCTTTTTCTATTTTGGCCATAAATATGTTAGCAAAAGCTACGGCCATTTTCGTTCCCATGGCTGTTCCATGAGTTTGAAGGTAATCTTTTCCATTGAATTGGAACGAGTTTTCTTGTAGAATCAGACTTAGCATTTCTCTTAAATACCTGGTAGGAATGGGAGGGTTTTCCGCATAGAATTCTTCGTATGCTCCGCATACAGTGGTAATACCCTCCTCCTGGGGTATGTTCGTGTAGAGACTGGTGACGTCCATTGAGACAAGAATTGTACTTTTAGGCAGTTTAGTCTTCTCGATGAAATTAAGAAAGTCTGTTGTATCTTTGAGATACGAGGCTTGTTTTTGTGCTATTGGCTGAATGAGGTGGTCAACAAAAGCTGAAATTCTTTCTGTAGGGCCGTCACACCCCGATATGATAGGTCTACCGACAGGTGTCGGTTTGTGAATCTTTGTGAGTGTGTAAAATACTGGTATTCGTGGAGGATCGGGTGTAAGGGAAAGCCATTTAGCCGTCATATCGTCTATGTGGCCTTCTTGAAGTAGTGCTTGAATCAGTCGGTGAACCTTTTTGGCTGTGGTGACAACCATAGGGTTTTCTAAGGGTCGGTAGTTATGTATATCGTCAATTTGGACTTGACCCTCGTTAAGTTTATCTGTTCTGTTCATTATGACGGTTGTGGTTCCCTTATCGGCTTTTTTTATCACAATGTTCTTGTCACGCGATAGTTGTTTTAGAGCTTTTCGCTCCCCCTGTGACAGGTTGTCTTTCGGCCTGTTCAATTTGATACTAGCAAGCTGAAATTTGACTTCTTCTAGGAAGGTCTCAAGAGCAACTGAGGGCTGGACTGGTGGGTCCCAGTCTGACTTAACGTGGAAAGGATGAGGTTCTTTATCTGTACCGTGAAATATGTATTTAAGGCGCATTCTTCTTGCAAATTGACTGAAGTCATTGAGTAGCTGGCGCCTGATAATGTTTTCTCTTGTCCCGGGAGTGGGAATGAATTTTAAACCACGGGATAGAAGGTAATTTGCTCGTCTGTCAACTGTGAATTTCACAGGTTTTTGATATGCTGGTTGCGTGACTTAATGTTGTTTAGAAAGCGCTTTTTCTCTTTGATTTTTCTCCTCTCGGTTCTTTTGCGGCTTTTAACCGCTTTGTTATCAGTTCTGTTTCTTTTCCCTTCTTCCCTTATTTCTAAAGGGTAAGATAAGACAACAGGATAAGATTCACTTTTTTTATTGTTTGCCTGTGTTCTCATTTGTTCCAGCAATGTATCGACCTCTCTAATCTTAGCTTTCAACACTTCGGCTAGCTCGTTTTCGTTCTTATCTTTGCTCGTATTTCTATTCCTAGCCGGCGCTTTGCGGGAAGACTGGTTGGTTTCTTGATAACTTCTGCGAGACTGAGCTTGTTCGATCTTTCTGTACTTATTCTTAAGTCTATCTACGCGCCTGTAGTGAAATTTAACGAGGGCCCCTACAAGGGCCTGTTCGGCTTTCTTTCTGATGGAGTTTATGTCTTTCTTAAAGTCCTCGTCGGGCGTGATATTCGCCCTCGCATTGTACCTTAAAGTCTTAGGGCATGAGCCCTTCTCTAGGTGGTTGTTAAGCAGACTGATAGAGTTTGTGGAGCTTTCTATCTTCTCCTGGATGGAGTTTAGCTCTTCTTCATGCCGTGATTTTTTCCTATTTTTTTCCTATTTTTTCCATTGTCAGTGTTGCCACTGTTGTCACTGTTGTTACTGTTTTTACCCTTGTCACCGTTGTCACCGTTGTCACACTTGTCAATGTTGTCGATGTTTTCACTGTTGACACTGTTGTCACCGTTGTCACTATAGTCACCGTTGTCACCGGTGTTAGTGTTGTCGGTGTTGTGACTGTTGTGACTGGTGTCAACGTTGTAACAGTTTACACAGTTGTCACCGCTGGCACAGTTGTGACCGTTGTCACTGTTGTCACACGTGCCACCCTTGTCACAGTTGTCACTGTTGTCACTGTTGTCACCGTTGTCACCGTTGTCACAGCTGTCACTGTTGTCACTGTTGTCACTGTTGTCACCGTTGTCCCCGTTGTCACCGTTGTCACTGTTGTTACTGTTGTTACCGTTGTCACCGTTGTCACCGTTGTCACTGTTGTCACCATTGTTACTGTTGTCACCGTTGTCACTGTTCACACTTGTGCCACTGTTGTCACCGTTGTCACTGTTGTCACTGTGGTCATCGTTGTCACTGTTGTCACTTTTGTCATCGTTGTCACTGTTGTCACTGCTGTCACCGTTGTCACTGTTGTCACTGTTAACATCGTTGTCACTGTTGTCACTTTTGTCATCGTTGTCACTGTTGTCACTGCTGTCATCGTTGTCACTGTTGTCACTGTTGTCATTGTTGTCATTGTTGTCACTGTTGTCACCGTTGTCACTGTTGTCACTGTTGTCAATTTAGTCACTGTTGTTATCGTTTTCACCGATGTCACCGTTGTCAGTGTTGCCACTGTTGTCACTGTTGTTACTGTTTTTACCCTTGTCACCGTTGTCACCGTTGTCACACTTGTCAATGTTGTCGATGTTTTCACTGTTGACACTGTTGTCACCGTTGTCACTATTGTCACCGTTGTCACCGGTGTTAGTGTTGTCGGTGTTGTGACTGTTGTGACTGGTGTCACCGTTGTAACAGTTTACACAGTTGTCACCGCTGGCACAGTTGTGACCGTTGTCACTGTTGTCACACGTGCCACCCTTGTCCCAGTTGTCACTGTTGTCACTGTTGTCACCGTTGTCACCGTTGTCACCGTTGTCAACATTGTCAATATTGTCAATGTTGTCACCGTTGTCACCGTTGTCACCGTTGTCACCGTTGTCACCGTTGTCACCGTTGTCACCGTTGTCACCGTTGTCACCGTTGTCACTGTTGTCACCATTGTTACTGTTGTCACCGTTGTCACTGTTGACACTTGTGCCACTGTTGTCACCGTTGTCACCATTATCACAGTTGTTAGTGTTGTCAATGTTGTCACTGTCTTTACTGTTGTCACCCTTGTCACCATTGTCACCGTTGTCACTGTTGTCACTGTTGTTACCGTTATCACCGTTGTCACTGTTCTCACTTTTGTCACTGCTGTCACCGTTCTCACCGTTCTCACTGTTGTCGGTTTTGTCACTGTTGTCACCGTTGTCCCTGTTGTCACTGCTTTCACTGTTGTCACTGTTGTCACTGTTCTCACCATTGTCAACGTTTTCAGTGTTGTCACCGTTGTCAGTGTTGTCAGTGTTGTCACTGTTGTCACCATTGTCACCATTGCCACTGTTGTAACAATTGCCACTGTTGTCACTGTTGTCCCAGTTGTCATCGTTGTCACAGTTGTTACTGTTGTCACCATTGTCACCGTTGTCACCGTTATCACCGTTGTCAGTGTTGTCGGTGTTGTCATTGTTGTCACTGTTGTCACCGTTGTCACTGTTGTCACTGTTGTCACTGTTGTCAATTTAGTCACTGTTGTTATCGTTTTCACCGATGTCACCGTTGTCAGTGTTGCCGCTGTTGTCACTGTTGTTACTGTTTTTACCCTTTTCACTGTTGTCACCGTTGTCACACTCGTCAATGTTGTCGATGTTTTCACGGTTGACACTGTTGTCACCGTTGTCACTATTGTCACCGTTGTCACCGTTGTTAGTGTTGTTGGTGTTGTGACTGTTGTGACTGTTGTCACCGTTGTAACAGTTTACACAGTTGTCACCGTTGTCACTGTTGTGACCGTTTTCACTGTTGTCACACGTGCCACCAGTGTCACAGTTGTCACTGTTGTCACTGTTGTCACCGTTGTCACCGTTGTCACAGCTGTCACTGTTGTCACGGTTGTCACTGTTGTCACCGTTGTCACCGTTGTCACCGTTGTCACTGTTGATACTGTTGTTACCGTTGTTACTGTTGTCACTGTTAAACCCGTTGCCAATTTTTTCACTGTTGTCACCGTTGTCACCGTTGTCACCGTTGCCACCGTTGTCACCGTTGTCACCGTTGTCCCTGTTGTCACCATTGTCACTGGTGTCGCCGTTGTCACTTTTTTCACTGTTCTTAGCGTTGTCATCGTTGACACTGTTGTCACTGTTCTCACTTTTGTCACTGTTGTCACGAATGCCACCGTTGTCAGTGTTGTCGGTGTTGTCACTGTTGTGACTGTTGTCACCAATGTCACTGTTTTAACTATTTTCACTGTTGTCACCGTTGTCACTGTTGTCAACGTTTTCAGTGTTTTCACTATTGTCAACTTTGTCACCGTTGTTAGTGTTGTCGGTGTCGGGACTTTTGTGACTGTTGGCAACGTTTTCACTGTTGTCACTGTTTTTTCCATTGTCACCGTTGTCACCGTTGCCACCGTTGTCACCGTTTTCACTATTGTCAACTTTGTCACCGTTGTTAGTGTTGTCGGTGTTGTCGGTGTTGGGACTGTTGTGACTGTTGGCAACGTTTTCACTGTTGTCACTGTTTTTTCCATTGTCACCGTTGTCACCGTTGTCAAAGTTGTCGGTTTTGTCACTATTGTTATCTTCGTCACTGTTGTCACTGTTGTTACCGTTGTCACCACCGTTGTCAACGTTGTCACCGTTGTCACCATTGTCACTGTTGTCACTGTTCTCACCATTGTCACCGTTGTCACTGTTGTCACTGTTGTCACTGTTGGCACCATTGTCACTGTTTTCACCGTTGTTAGTGTTGTCGGTGTGGTCACTGTTGTGACTGTTGTCAACGTTGTCACTGTTGTAACTGTTTTTTCCTTCTTCAATGTTGAAACTGTTGTCAACGTTGTCACCGTTGTCACCATTGTCACTGTTGTCACTGTTCTCACCGTTGTCACCGTTGTCACTGTTGTCACTGTTTGCACCATTGTCACTGTTGTCACCGTTATTAGTGTTGTCGGTGTGGTCACTGTTGTGACTGTTGTCAACGTTGTCACTGTTGTCACTGTTGTCACTGTTGTCACTGTTGTCACTGTTGTCACCGTTGTCACCGTTGTCACTGTTGATACTGTTGTTACCGTTTTCACTGTTGTCACTGTTGAACCCGTTGCCAATTTTTTTTTACTATTGTCACCGTTGTCACCGTTGTCACCGTTGTCCCTGTTGTCACCATTGTCACTGGTGTTGCCGTTGTCACTGTTTTCACTGTTCTTAGCGTTGTGATCGTTGTCACTGTTGTCACTGTTCTCACTTTTGTCACTGTTGTCACGAATGCCACCGTTGTCAGTGTTGTCGGTGTTGTCACTGTTGTGACTGTTGTCACCAATGTCACTGTTTTAACTATTTTCACTGTTGTCACCGTTGTCACTGTTGTCAACGTTTTCAGTGTTTTCACTAATGTCAACTTTGTCACCGTTGTTAGTGTTCTCGGTGTTGTCGGTGTCGGGACTGTTGTGACTGTTGGCAACGTTTTCACTGTTGTCACTGTTTTTTCCATTGTCACCGTTGTCACCGTTGCCACCGTTGTCACCGTTGCCACCGTTGTCACCGTTTTCACTATTGTCAACTTTGTCACCGTTGTTAGTGTTGTCGGTGTTGTCGGTGTTGGGACTGTTGTGACTGTTGGCAACGTTTTCACTGTTGTTACTGTTTTTTCCATTGTCACCGTTGTCACCGTTGTCAAAGTTGTCGGTTTTGTCACCATTGTTATCTTCGTCACTGTTGTCACTGTTGTTACCGTTGTCACCGTTGTCACCGTTGTCAACGTTGTCAACGTTGTCACCGTTGTCACCATTGTCACTGTTGTCACTGTTCTCACCGTTGTCACCGTTTTTACTGTTGTCACTGTTGTCAGTGTTGGCACCATTGTCACTGTTGTCACCGTTGTTAGTGTTGTCGGTGTGGTCACTGTTGTGACTGTTGTCAACGTTGTCACTGTTGTAACTGTTTTTTCCGTCTTCAATGTTGAAACTGTTGTCAACGTTGTCACCGTTGTCACCATTGTCACTGTTGTCACTGTTCTCACCGTTGTCACCGTTGTCACTGTTGTCACTGTTGTCACTGTTTGCACCATTGTCACTGTTGTCACCGTTGTTAGTGTTGTCGGTGTGGTCACTGTTGTGACTGTTGTCAACGTTGTCACTGTTGTCACTGTTGTCACTGTTGTCACCGTTGTCACTGCTGTCACCGTTGTCAGTGTTGTCACTGATGTCACCGTTGTTACTGTTGTCAGTGGTGTTACTGTTGTCAGAGTTGTCGGTGTTGTCACTGTTGTCACCGCTGTCACTGTTTTCACTGTTGTTACCGTTGGCACCGTTGTGACCATTGTAACTGTTGTCACTGTTGTTACCGTTCTTATTGTTGTAACCGTTGTCACCGTTGTCACCGTTGTCACTTTTGTCACTTTTGTCCCTGTTGTCACCGTTGTCACTGTTGTCACCGTTGTCACTGTTGACACTGTTGCCACCATTGTCACCGTTGTTACTATTGTCACCGTTGTTACTGTTGTCACTGTTGTCACTTTTTTTACCGTTGTCACCATTGTCACGGTTGCCACCGTTGTCACAGTTGTCCCTGTTGTCACTGTTGTCCCCGTTGTCACTCTTGTCACTTTTGTCACTATTGTCACCATTGTCACTTTTGTCACTGTTTTTATTGTTGTCACTGTTGTCACTGTTGTTACTGTTGTCACCGCTTTCACCGTTGTCTTCGTGATCACCTTTGTCAGTGTTGTGAGTGTTGTCATCACTGTTGTCACTGTTGTCACTGTTGTAAGCGTTCCCACTGTTGTCACAGTTGTCACTGTTGTCACGGTTGCCACTGTTGTCAGAGTTGTCACTGTTGTCACTGTTGTCACCATTGTCACTTTTGTCACTGTTTTCACCGTTGTCACTGTTGTCACTGTTGTTACTGTTGTCACCTTTGTCACCATTGTCACCGTTGTCACTTTTGACACTGTTGTCACCATTGTCACCGTTGTCATCGTTGTCACCGTTGTCACTGTTTTCACGGTTGCCACTGTTGTCACAGTTGTCACTGTTGTCACTGTTGTCACTGTTGTCACCATTGTCACTTTTGAGACTGTTTTCACCGTTGTCACTGTTGTCACTGTTGTCCCTGTTGTCACCGTTGTCACTGCTGTCACCGTTGTCACTGTTGACACTGTTGCCACCATTGTCACCGTTGTTACTAATGTCACCGATGTTACTGTTGTCACTTTTTTTACCGTTGTCACCGTTGTCACGGTTGCCACCATTGTCACAGTTGTCACTGTTGTCACTGTTGTCCCCGTTGTCACACTTGTCACTTTTGTCACTGTTGTCACCATTGTCACTTTTGTCAATGTTTTTATTGTTGTCACTATTGTCACTGTTGTTACTGTTGTCACCGCTTTCACCGTTGTCTTCGTGATCACCGTTGTCAGTGTTGTCGGTGTTGTCATTGTTGTCACTGTTGTCACTGTTGTCACTGTTGTCACTGTTGTCACTGTTGTAAGCGTTGCCACTGTTGTCACCGTTGTCACTGTTGTCACGGTTGCCACTGTTGTCACAGTTGTCACTGTTGTCACTGTTGTCACTGTTGTCACCATTGTCACTTTTGTCACTGTTTTCACCGTTGTCACTTTTGTCACTGTTGTTACTGTTGTCACCGTTGTCACAGTCGTCACTTTTGTCACTGTTGTCACTGTTGTCACCATTGTCACCATTGTCACCGTTGTCACCGTTGTCACTGTTGTTACTGTTGTCACCGTTGTCACCGTTGTCACAGTTATCACTTTTGTCACTGTTTTCATTATTGTCACCGTTGTCATCGTTGTCACCATTGTCACCGTTGTTACTATTGTCACCGTTGTTACTGTTGTCACTGTTGTCACTTTTTTTACAGTTGTCACCGTTGTCACGGTTGCCACCATTGTCTCAGTTGTCCCTGTTGTCACTGTTGTCCCCATTGTCACACTTGTCACTTTTGTCACTGTTTTCACCATTGTCACTTTTGTCACTGTTTTTATTGTTGTCACTGTTGTCACTGTTGTTACTGTTGTCACCGCTTTTACCGTTGTCTTCGTGATCACCGTTGTCAGTGTTGTCGGTGTTGTCATTGTTGTCACTGTTGTCACTGTTGTCACCGTTGTCACTGTTGTAAGCTTTGCCACTGTTGTCACCGTTGTCACTGTTGTCACGGTTGTCACTGTTGTCACGGTTGCCACTGTTGTCACAGTTGTCACTGTTGTCACTGTTGTCACTGTTGTCACCATTGTCACTTTCGTCACTGTTTTCACCGTTGTCACTGATGTCACTGTTGTTACTGTTGTCACCGTTGTCACCGTTGTCACTTTTGTCACCGTTGTCACTGTTGTCACGGTTGCCACCGTTGTTACAGTTGTCACTGTTGTCACTGTTGTCACCGTTGGTCATCGTTGTCACAGTTATCACAGTTGTCACTGTTGTCACCATTGTCACTGTTGTCACCGTTGTCACTGTTGTAAGCGTTGCCACTGTTGTCACCGTTGTCACTGTTGTCACGGTTGCCACTGTTGTCACAGTTGTCACTGTTGTCACTGTTGTCACTGTTGTCACCATTGTCACTTTTGTCACTGTTTTTACCGTTGTCACTGTTGTCACTGTTGTTACTGTTGTCACCGTTGTCACAGTTGTCACTTTTGTCACTCTTGTCACTGTTGTCACCATTGTCACCATTGTCACCGTTGTCACCGTTGGCACTGTTGTTACTCTTGTCACCGTTGTCACCGTTGTCACCGTTGTCACTGTTGTCACCATTGTCACTTTTGTCTCTGTTTTTACTGTTGTCAGTGTTGTCACTGTTTTTACTGTTGTCACCGCTTTCACCGTTGTCTTCGTGATCACCGTTGTCGGTGTTGTCATTGTTGTCACTGTTGTCACTGTTGTCACCGTTGTCACTGTTGTAACCGTTGCCACTGTTGTCACCATTCTCACCGTTGTCACCGTTGTCACTGTTGTCACCGCTGTCACCGTTGTCACCGTTGTCACCGTTGTCACTGTTGTCACCATTGTCACTGGTGTCACCTTCGTCACTGTTGAAACTGTTGCCACCATTGTCACCGTTGTTACTATTGTCAACGTTGTTACTGTTGTCACTGTTGTTACCGTTGTCACCGTTGTGACCATTGTAACTGTTGTCACGGTTGTTACCGTTCTTATTGTTGTAACAGTTGTCACTGCTGTCACTGTTGTCCCCGTTGTCACACTTGTCACTTTTGTCTCTGTTGTCACCATTATCACTTTTGTCTCTGTTTTTATAGTTGTCACTATTGTCACTGTTTTTACTGTTGCCACCGCTTTCATGGTTGTCTTCGTGATCACCGTTGTCACTGTTGTCACTGTTGTCACCGTTGTCACTGTTGTAACCGTTGAAACTGTTGTCACCATTCTCACTGTTGTCACGGTTGCCACTGTTGTCACAGTTGTCACTATTGTCAATGTTGTCACCGTTGTCACCGTTGTCACCGTTGTCACCGTTGTCACAGTTGTCACTGTTGTCACTGTTGTCACCATTGTCACAGTTGTCACTATTGTCAATGTTGTCACCGTTGTCACCGTTGTCACAGTTGTCACTGTGATCACCGTTGTCACCGTTGTCACTTTTGTCACTGTTGTCACCATTGTCACCGTTAACACAATTGTCACCGTTGTCAATTTTGTCACTGTTGTCACCGTTGCCACCGTTGTCACCATTGTCACTGTTGTCACTGTTGTCACTGTTGTGACAATGGTGACAACGGTAAAAAATACCGTTGTCACCATTGTCACGGTTGGCACCATTGTCTCACTTGTGATTGTTGTCACTGTTGTCACCATTGTCACTTTTGTCTCTGTTTTTATTGTTGTCACTGTTGTCACTGTTGTTACTGTTGTCACCACTTTCACCGTTGTCTTCGTGATCACCGTTGTCAGTGTTGTCGGTGTTGTCATTGTTGTCACTGTTGTCACTGTTGTCACCGTTGTCACTGTTGTAACCGTTGCCACTGTTGTCACCGTTCTCACTGTTGTCACGGTTGTCACTGTTGTCACAGTTGTCACTATTGTCAATGTTGTCACCGTTGTCACTGTTGTCACCGTTGTTACTGTTGTCACCGTTGTCACCGTTGTCACCGTTGTCACTTTTGTCACTGTTGTCACCATTGTCACCGTTGTCACCGTTGTCAATTTTGTCACTGTTGTCACCGTTGTCACCGTTGTCACCGTTGTCACCGTTGTCACCGTTGTCACCGTTGTGACCGTTGTCACCATTGTCACTGGTGTCACCGTCGTCACTGTCACCAATGTTACTATTGTCACCGTTGTCACTGTTGTTAGTGTTGTCGGTGTTGTGACTGTTGTGACTGTTGTCACCGTTGTAACAGTTTACACAGTTGTCACCGTTATCGCTGTTGTGACCGTTGTCACTGTTGTCACACGTGCCACGGTTGTCACAGTTGTCACTGTTGTCACTGTTGTCACCGTTGTCACCGTTGTCACATCTGTCACTGTTGTCACTGTTGTCACCGCTTTCACCGTTGTCTTCGTGATCACCGTTGTCAGTGTTGTCGGTGTTGTCATTGTTGTTCCTGTTGTCACTGTTGTCAACGTTGTCACTGTTGTAACCGTTGCCACTGTTGTCACCGTTCTCACTGTTGTCACGGTTGCCACTGTTGTCACAGTTGTCACTATTGTCACTGTTGTCACTGTTGTCACCATTGTCACTGTTTTCACCGTTGTCACTGTTGTCACTGTTGTTACTAGTTGTCACCGTTGTCACCGTTGTCACCGTTGTCACCGTTGTCACTTTTGTCACTGTTGTCACCATTGTCACCGTTGTCATCGTTGTCACCGTTGTCACTGTTTTCACCGTTTTCACTGTTGTCACTGTTGTTACTGTTGTCACCGTTGTCACCGTTGTCACCGTTGTCACTTTTGTCACTGTTGTCACCATTGTCACCGTTGTCACCGTTGTCACCGTTGTCAGTGTTGTTACTGTTGTCACCGTTGTCACCGTTGTCACCGTTGTCACTTTTTTCACTGTTGTCACCATTGTCACCGTTGTCATCGTTGTCACCGTTGTCACTGTTGTGACCGTTGTCACCGTTGTTACTGTTGTCACCATTGTCACTGTTGTCACCATTGTCACTTTTGTCTCCGTTTTTATTGTTGTCAGTGTTGTCACTGTTTTTACTGTTGTCACCGCTTTCACCGTTGTCTTCGTGATCACCGTTGTCAGTGTAATCGGTGTTGTCATCGTTGTCACTGTTGTCACTGTTGTCACCCTTGTCACTGTTGTAACCGTTGCCACTGTTGTCACCGTTCTCACTTTTGTCACGGTTGCCACTGTTGTCACAGTTGTCACTGTTGTCAATGTTGTCACCGTTTTGACCATTGTCACAGTTGTCACTGTTGTCACTGTTGTCACCATTGTCACTTTTGTCACTGTTTTCACCGTTGTCACTGTTGTCACTGTTGTTACTGTTGTCACCGTTGTCACCGTTGTCACCGTTGTCACCGTTGTCACTTTTCTCACTGTTGTCACCATTGTCACCATTGTCACCGTTGTCACCGTTGTCACCGTTGTCACCGTTGTCACTGTTGTCACCGTTGTCACCGTTGTCACCGTTGTCACTGTTGTCGCCATTGTCACTGGTGTCACCGTCGTCATTTCACTGTTGTTACTGTTGTCACCGTTGTGACCATTGTAACTGTTGTCACTGTTGTTACCGTTCTTATTGTTGTAACCGCTGTCACCGTTGTCACTTTTGTCACTGTTGTCCCTGTTGTCACCGATGTCACTGTTGTCACCAATGTCACTGTTGAAACTGTTGCCACCATTGTCACCCTTGTTACTATTGTCACCGTTGTTACTGTTGTCACTGTTGTCACTTTTTTTACCGTTGTCACCATTGTCACGGTTGCCACCATTGTCACAGTTGTGATTGTTGTCACTGTTGTCCCCGTTGTCACACTTGTCACTTTTGTCACTGTTGTCACCATTGTCACATTTGTCTCTGTTTTTATTGTTGTCAATGTTGTCACTGTTGTTACTGTTGTCACCGCTTTCACCGTTGTCTTCGTGATCACCGTTGTCAGTGTTGTCGGTGTTGTCATTGTTGTCACTGTTGTCACTGTTGTCACCGTTGTCACTGTTGTGACCGTTGCCACTGTTGTCACCGTTCTCACTGTTGTCACTGTTGCCACTGTTGTCACAGTTGTCACTATTGTCAATGTTGTCACCGTTGTCACCGTTGTCATCGTTGTCACAGTTGTCACTGTTGTCACTCTTGTCACCATTGTCACTTTTGTCACTGTTTTCACCGTTGTCACTTTTGTCACTGTTGTTACTGTTGTCACCGTTGTCACCGTTGTCACCGTTGTCACCCTTGTCACTTTTGTCACTGTTTTCACCATTGTCACCGTTGTCACCGTTGTCACCGTTGTCAATTTTGTCACTGTTGTCACTGTTGTCACCGTTGTCACTGTTGTCACCGTTGTCACCGTTGTCACCGTTGTCACTGTTGTCACCATTGTCACTGGTGTCACCGTCGTCACTGTCACCATTGTCACTATTGTCACCGTTGTAACCGTTGTTAGTGTTGTCGGTGTTGTGACTGTTGTGACTGTTGTCACCGTTGTAACAGTTTACACAGTTGTCACCGTTATCACTGTTGTGACCGTTGTCACTGTTGTCACACGTGCCACCGTTGTCACAGTTATCACTGTTGTCACTGTTGTCACCGTTCTCACCGTTGTCACATCTGTCACTGTTGTCACTGTTGTCACTGTTGTCACCGTTGTCACCGTTGTCACCGTTGTCACTGTTGTTGATGTTGTTACCATTGTCACCGTTGACACCGTTGTCACCGTTGTCAATTTTGTCACTGTTCTCACCGTTGTCACCGTTGTCACCGTTGTCACTGTTGTCACCATTGTCACTGGTGTAACCGTCGTCACTGTTTTCACTGTTGTTACCGTTGTCACCGTTGTGACCATTGTAACTGTTGTCACTGTTGATACCGTTCTTATTGTTGTAACCGCTGTCATCGTTGTAACTTTTGTCACTGTTGTCCCTCTTTTCACCGTTGTCACTGCTGTCACCGTTGTCACTGTTGACACTGTTGCCACCATTGTCACGGTTGCCACCATTGTCACAGTTGTCATTGTTGTCACTGTTGTCACTGTTGTCCCCGTTGTCTCCCTTGTCACTTTTGTCACTGTCACCATTGTCACTTTTGTCTCTGTTTTTATTGTTGTCACTATTGTCACTGTTGTTACTGTTGTCACCGCTTTCACCGTTGTCTTCGTGATCACCGTTGTCAGTGTTGTCGGTGTTGTCATTGTTGTCACTGTTGTCACTGTTGTCACCGTTGTCAGTGTTGTAACCGTTGCCACTGTTGTCACCATTCTCACTGTTGTCACGGTTTCCACTGTTGTCACAGTTGTCACTTTTGTCAATGTTGTCACCGTTGTCACCGTTGTCACAGTTGTCACTGATGTCACTGTTGTCACCATTGTCACTTTTGTCACTGTTTTCACCGTTGTCACTGTTGTCACTGTTGTTACTGTTGTCACCGTTGTCACCGTTGTCACCGTTGTCACCGTTGCCACTTTTGTCACTGTTTTCACCATTGTCACCGTTGTCACCGTTGTCACTGTTGTCACCGTTGTCACCAATTGTTAGCGTCGTCAATGTTGTCACTGTTTTTACCGTTCTCACCGTTGTCACTGTTGTCACTGTTGTTACCGTGATCACTGTTGTCATTGTTCTCACTTTTGTCACTGTTGTCACCAATTCCACCATTGTCACTGTTTTCACCGTTGTCACCGTTGTCACCATTGTCACAGGTGTCACTGTTGTCTCTTTTGTCACTGTTCTCACTTTTGTCACTGTTGTCACCAATTCCACCATTGTCACCGTTGTCACCATTGTCACAGGTGTCACTGTTGTCTCTTTTGTCACTGTTCTCGCCGTTGTCACCGTTGTCACCGTTGTCACCGTTGTCACTGTTGTTACTGTTGTTAACGATTTCACCGTTGTCACTGTTTTCACCGTTGTCACCGTTGTCACCGTTGTCACCGTTGTCACCGTTGTCACCGTTGCCACCGTTGTCACCGTTGTCACTGTTGTCACCGTTGTCACCGTTGTCACTGTTCTCACCATTGTTACTGTTGTCACCGTTGTCACAGTTGACACTAGTGCACTGTTGTCACTGTTGTCACTAGTGTCACAGTTCTCACTGTTGACAATGTTTTCACTGTTTTCACTGTTGTTACTGTTGTCACTGTTCCCCAATGTTCTCACTGTTGTCACTGTTCCCCAACGTTATCACTGTTGTCACTGTTGTTACGGTTCACCGTTGTCACTGTTGACACCTTTGTCACTGTTGTCACTGTTGTCACCGTTGTCACTGTTGTCTCTGATGTCACTGTTGTCACCGTTATCACGGTTGCCACCGTTGTCACCATCGCCACAGTTGTCACAGTTGTCACTGTTGTCACTGTTGTCACTGTTGTCCCCGTTGTCACACTTGTCACTTTTGTCACTGTTGTCACCATTTTCACTTTTGTCAATGTTTTCATTGTTGTCACTTTTGTCACTGTTGTTAGCGTTTTCACTGCTGTCACCATTGTCAGTGTAGTCGGTGTTGTCATTGTTGTCACTCATGTCACATTTGTCACCGTTGTCACTGTTGTCACGGCTGCCACCGTTGTTACAGTTGTCACTGTTGTCACCGTTGTCACTGTTGGTCATCGTTGTGACAGTTATCACAGTTGTCACTGTTGTCACCATTGTCACTGTTGTCAGCGTTGTCACTGTTGTAAGCGTTGCCACTGTTGTCACCGTTGTCACTGTTGTCACGATTGCCACTGTTCTCACAGTTGTCACAGTTGTCACTGTTGTCACTGTTGTCACCATTGTCACTTTTGTCACTGTTTTCACCGTTGTCACTGTTGTCACTGTTGTTACTGTTGTCACCGTTGTCACCGTTGTCACTTTTGTCACTGTTGTCACTGTTGTCACCATTGTCACCATTGTCACCGTTGTCACCGTTGTCACTGTTGTTACTGTTGTCACCGTTGTCATCGTTGTCACCGTTGTCACTGTTGTCACCATTGTCACTGTTGTCACCATTGTCACTTTTGTCTCTGTTTTTATTGTTGTCAGTGTTGTCACTGTTTTTACTGTTGTCACCGCTTTCACCGTTGTCTTCGTGATCACCGCTGTCAGTGTTATCGGTGTTGTCATTGTTGTCACTGTTGTCACTGTTGTAACCGTTGCCACCGTTGTCACCGTTCTCACTTTTGTCACGGTTGCCACTGTTGTCACAGTTGTCACTGTTGTCAATGTTGTCACCGTTGTCACCGTTGTCACAGTTGTCACTGTTGTCACTGTTGTCACCATTGTCACTTTTGTCACTGCTTTCACCGTTGTCACTGTTGTCACTGTTGTTACTGTTGTCACCGTTGTCACCGTTGTCACCTTTGTCACTTTTCTCACTGTTGTCACCATTCTCACCGTTGTCACCGTTGTCACTGTTGTCACCGCTGTCACCGTTGTGACCATTGTAACTGTTGTCACTGTTGTTACCATTCTTATTGTTGTAACCGCTCTCACCGTTGTCACTTTTGTCACTGTTGTCCCTGTTGTCACCGTTGTCACTGTTGTCACCGTTGCCACTGTTGAAACTGTTGCCACCGTCACCGTTGTTACTATTGTCACCGTTGTTATTGTTGTCACTGTTGTCACTTTTTTTACCGTTGTCACCATTGTCACGGTTGCCACCATTGTCACAGTTGTGATTGTTGTCACTGTTGTCCCCGTTGTCACACTTGTCACTTTTGTCTCTGTTGTCACCATTGTCACTTTTGTCTCTGTTTTTATTGTTGTCACTGTTGTCACTGTTGTTACTGTTGCCACCGCTTTCACCGTTGTCTTCGTGATCACCGTTTTCAGTGTTGTCGGTGTTGTCATTGTTGTCACTGTTGTCACCGTTGTCACTGTTGTAACCGTTGCCACTGTTGTCAGCGTTCTCACTGTTGTCACGGTTGCCACTGTAGTCACAGTTGTCACTATTGTGAATGCTGTCACCGTTGTCACCATTGTCACCGTGTCACCGTTGTCACAGTTGTCACTGTTGTCACTGTTGTCACCATTGTCACAGTTGTCACTATTGTCAATGTTGTCACCGTTGTCACAGTTGTCACTGTGATCACCGTTTTCACCGTTGTCACTTTTTTCACTGTTGTCACCATTGTCACCGTTAACACAGTTGTCACCGTTGTCAATTTTGTCACTGTTGTCACCGTTGCCACCGTTGTCACCGTTGTCACTGTTGTCAATGTTGTGACAATGGTGACAACGGTAAAAAATACCGTTGTCACCATTGTCACGGTTGCCACCATTGTCACAGTTGTGATTGTTGTCACTGTTGTCACCATTGTCACTTTTGTCTGTGTTTTTATTGTTGTCACTGTTGTCACTGTTGTCACCGCTTTCACCGTTGTCTTCGTGATCACCGTTGTCAGTGTTGTCGGTGTTGTCATTGTTGTCACTGTTGTTACTGTTGTCATCGTTGTCACTGTTGTAACCGTTGCCACTGTTGTCACCGTTCTCACTGTTGTCACGGTTGCCACGGTTGTCACAGCTGTCACTATTGTCAATGTTGTCACCTTTGTCACTGTTGTCACCGTTGTTACTGTTGTCACCGTTGTCACCGTTGTCACCGTTGTCACCGTTGTCACTGTTGTCACCATTGTCAATGGTGTCACCGTCGTCACTGTCAAAAATGTTACTATTGTCACCGTTGTCACCGTTGTTAGTGTTGTCGGTGTTGTGACTGTTGTGACTGTTGTCACCGTTTTAACAGTTGTCACCGTTATCACTGTTGTGACCGTTGTCACTGTTGTCACACGTGCCACCGTTTTCACAGTTGTCACTGTTGTCACTGTTGTCACCGTTGTCACCGTTGTCACATCTGTCACTGTTGTCACTGTTGTCACTGTTGTCACCGCTTTCACCGTTGTCTTCGTGATCACCGTTGTCAGTGTTGTCGGTGTTGTCATTGTTGTCACTGTTGTCACTGTTGTCAACGTTGTCACTGTTGTAACCGTTCCCACTGTTGTCACCGTTCACACTGTTGTCACGGTTGCCAGTGTTGTCACAGTTGTCACTATTGTCACTGTCGTCACTGTTTTCACCATTGGCACTGTTTTCATCGTTGTCACTGTTGTCACTGTTGTTACTGTTGTCACCGTTGTCACCGTTGTCACCGTTGTCACTTTTGTCACTGTTGTCACCATTGTCACCGTTGTCATCGTTATCACCGTTCTCACTGTTTTCACCATTGTCACTGTTGTCACTGTTGTTACTGTTGTCACCGTTGTCACCGTTGTCACCGTTGTCACCGTTGTCACCGTTGTCACTGTTGTCACCATTGTCACCATTGTCACCGTTGTCACCGTTGTCACTGTTGTCACTGTTGTCACCGTTGTCACCGTTGTCACCGTTGTCACTTTTTTCACTGTTGTCACCATTGTCACCGTTGTCATCGTTGTCACCGTTGTCACTGTTGTGACCGTTGTCACCGTTGTTACTGTTGTCACCATTGTCACTGTTGTCACCATTGTCACTTTTGTCTCTGTTTTTATTGTTGTCAGTGTTTTCACTGTTTTTACTGTTGTCACCGCTTTCACCGCTGTCTTCGTGATCACCGTTGTCAGTGTTATCGGTGTTGTCATCGTTGTCACTGTTGTCACTGTTGTCACCGTTGTCACTGTTGTAACCGTTGCAACTGTTGTCACCGTTCTCACTTTTGTCATGGTTGCCACTGTTGTCACAGTTGTCACTGTTGTCAATGTTGTCACCGTTTTCACCACTGTCACAGTTGTCACTGTTGTCACTGTTGTCACCATTGTCACTTTTGTCACTGTTGTTACTGTTGTCACCGTTGTCACCGTTGTCACTTTTCTCACTGTTGTAACCATTGTCACCGTTGTCACTTTTGTCACTCTTGTCACCATTTTCACCGTTCTCACCGTTGTCACCGTTGTCACTGTGGTCACCGTTGTCGCCGTTGTTACTGTTGTCACCATTGTCACTTTTGTCACTGTTGTTACTGTTGTCACCGTTGTCACCGTTGTCACTTTTCTCACTGTTGTCACCATTGTCACCGTTGTCACTTTTGTCACTGTTGTCACCATTGTCACCGTTCTCACTGTTGTCACCGTTGTCACCATTGTCACGGTTGTCACCGTTGTCACTGTTGAAACTTTTGCCACCGTTTTACCGTTGTCACTATTGTCACCAATTGTTAGCGTCGTCAATGTTGTCACTGTTTTTACCGTTCTCACCGTTGTCACTGTTGTCACTCTTGTTACCGTGATCACTGTTGTCACTGTTCTCCCTTTTGTCACTGTTGTCACCAATGCCACCATTGTCACTGTTGTCACCGTTGTCACCGTTGTCACCGTTGTCACCGTTGTCACAGTTGTCACCGTTGTCTCTTTTGTCACTGTTGTCACTGTTGTCACCGTTGTCACCGTTGTCACCGTTTTCACTCTTTTCACTATTGTCACCATTGTCACCGTTGTCATCGTTGTCACCGTTGTCACTGTTGTGACCGTTGTCACCGTTGTTACTGTTGTCACCATTTTCACTGTTGTCACCATTGTCACTTTTGTCTTTGTTTTTATTGTTGTCACTGTTGTCACTGTTGTTACTGTTGTCACCGCTTTCACCGTTGTCTTCGTGATCACCGTTGTCAGTGTTATCGGTGTTGTCATTGTTGTCACTGTTGTCACTGTTGTCACCGTTGTCACTGTTGTAACCGTTGCCACTGTTGTCACCGTTCTCACTGTTGTCACGGTTTCCACTGTTGTCACAGTTGTCACTGTTGTCAATGTTGTCACCGTTGTCACCGTTGTCACAGTTGTCACTGATGTCACTGTTGTCACCATTGTCACTTTTGTCACTGTTTTCACCGTTGTCACTGTTGTCACTGTTGTTACTGTTGTCACCGTTCTCACCGTTGTCACCGTTGTCACTTTTGTCACTGTTGTCACCGTTGTCACCGTTGTCACTGTTGTCACCGTTGTCACTGTTGTCACCGTTGTCACTGTTGAAACTTTTGCCACCGTTTTACCGTTGTCACTATTGTCACCAATTGTTAGCGTCGTCAATGTTGTCACTGTTTTTACCGTTCTCACCGTTGTCACTGTTGTCACTGTTGTTACCGTGATCACTGTTGTCACTGTTGTCACCGTTGGTCATCGTTTGTCACAGTTATCACAGTTGTCACTGTTGTCACCATTGTCACTGTTGTCACCGTTGTCACTGTTGTAAGCGTTGCCACTGTTGTCACCGTTGTCACTGTTGTCACAGTTGCCACTGTTGTCACAGTTGTCACTGTTGTCACTGTTGTCACTGTTGTCACCATTGTCACTTTTGTCACTGTTTTCACCGTTGTCACTGTTGTCACTGTTGTTACCGTTGTCACCGTTGGCACCGTTGTCACTTTTGTCACTGTTGTCACCATTGTCACCATTGTCACCATTGTCACCGTTGTCACCGTTGTCACTGTTGTTACTGTTGTCACCGTTGTCACCGTTGTCACTTTTGTCACTGTTTTCACCATTGTCACCGTTGTCATCGTTGTCACCGTTGTCACTGTTGTGACCGTTGTCACCGTTGTTACTGTTGTCACCATTGTCACTGTTGTCACCATTGTCACTTTTGTCTCTGTTTTTATTGTTGTCAGTGTTGTCACTGTTTTTACTGTTGTCACCGCTTTCACCGTTGTCTTCGTGATCACCGCTGTCAGTGTTATCGGTGTTGTCATTGTTGTCACTGTTGTCACTGTTGTCAATGTTGTCACCGTTGTCACTGTTGTCACAGTTGTCACTGTTGTCACTGTTGTCACCATTGTCACTTTTGTCACTGTTTTCACCGTTGTCACTGTTGTCACTGTTGTTACTGTTGTCACCGTTGTCACCGTTGTCACTTTTCTCTGTTGTCACCATTGTCACCGTTGTCACCGTTGTCACTGTTGTCACCGCTGTCACCGTTGTCACCGTTGTCATTGTTGTCACTGTTGTCACCATTGTCACTGGTGTCATGGTCGTCACCGTTTTCACTGATGTTACCGTTGTCATCGTTGTGACCATTGTAACTGTTGTCACTGTTGTTACCGTTCTTATTGTTGTAACCGCTGTCACCGTTGTCACTTTTGTCACTGTTGTCCGTGTTGTCACCGTTGTCACTGTTGTCACCGTTGTCACTGTTGAAACTGTTGCCACCATTGTCACCGTTGTTACTATTGTCACCGTTGTTATTGTTGTCACTGTTGTCACTTTTTTTACCGTTGTCACCATTGTCACGGTTGCCACCATTGTCACAGTTGTGATTGTTGTCACTGTTGTCCCCGTTGTCACACTTGTTACTTTTGTCACTGTTGTCACCATTGTCACTTTTGTCTCTTTTTTTATTTTTGTCACTGTTGTCACTGTTGTAACCGTTGCCACTGTTGTCACCGTTCTCACTGTTGTCACGGTTGCCAATGTTGTCACAGTTGTCACTATTGTCAATGTTGTCACCGTTGTCACCCTTGTCACCGTTGTCACCGTTGTCACAGTTGTCACTGTTGTCACTGTTGTCACCATAGTCACAGTTGTCACTATTGTCAATGTTGTCACCGTTGTCACCGTTGTCACCGTTGTCACAGTTGTCACTGTGATCACCGTTGTCACGGTTGCCACTGTTGTCACAGTTGTCACTGTTGTCAATGTTGTCACCGTTTTCACCGTTGTCACAGTTGTCACTGTCGTCACTGTTGTCACCATTGTCACTTTTGTCACTGTTGTTACTGTTGTCACCGTTGTCACCGTTGTCACTTTTCTCACTGTTGTCACCATTGTCACCGTTGTCACCGTTGTCACCGTTGTCACTGTTGTCACCGTTGTCACCGTTGTCACCGTTGTCACCGTTGTCACCGTTGTCACCGTTGTCACTTTTGTCACTGTTGTCACCATTGTCACCGTTGTCATCGTTGTCACCGTTGTGACTGTTTTCACCGTTGTCACTGTTGTTACGGTTGCCACTGTTGTCACAGTTGTCACTGTTGTCACTGTTGTCACCATTGTCACTTTTGTCACTGTTTTCACCGTTGTCACTGTTGTCCCTGTTGTCACCGTTGTCACTGTTGTCACCGTTGTCACTGTTGACACTGTTGCCACCATTGTCACCGTTGTTACTATTGTCACCGTTGTTACTGTTGTCACTGTTGTCACTTTTTTTACCGTTTTCACCGTTGTCACGGTTGCCACCATTGTCACAGTTGTCACTGTTGTCACTGTTGTCCCCGTTGTCACACTTGTCACTTTTGTCACTGTTGTCACCATTGTCACTTTTGTCACTGTTTTTATTGTTGTCACTGTTGTCACTGTTGTTACTGTTGTCACCGCTTTCACCGTTGTCTTCGTGATCACCGTTGTCAGTGTTGTCGGTGTTGTCATTGTTGTCACTGTTGTAAGCGTTGCCACTGTTGTCACCGTTGTCACTGTTGTCACAGTTGTCACTGTTGTCACTGTTGTCACTGTTGTCACCATTGTCACTTTTTTCACTGTTTTCACCGTTGTCACTCTTGTCACTGTTGTTACTGTTGTCACCGTTGTCACCGTTGTCACTTTTGTCACTGTTGTCACCATTGTCACCATTGTCACCGTTGTCACCATTGTCAAAGTTGTTACTGTTGTCACTGTTGTCACCATTGTCACCGTTGTCATCGTTGTCACCGTTGTCACTGTTGTGACCGTTGTCACCGTTGTTACTGTTGTCACCATTGTCACTTTTGTCTCTGTTTTTATTGTTGTTAGTGTTTTCACTGTTTTTACTGTTGTCACCGCTTTCACCGTTGTCTTCGTGATCACCGTTGTCAGTGTTATCGGTGTTGTCATTGTTGTCACTGTTGTCACTGTTGTCACCGTTGTCACTGTTGTAACCGTTGCCACTGTTGTCACCGTTCTCACTTTTGTCACGGTTGCCACTGTTGTCACAGTTGTCACTGTTGTCAATGTTGTCACCGTTGTCACCGTTGTCACAGTTGTCACTGTTGTCACTGTTGTCACCATTGTCACTTTTGTCACTGTTTTCACCGTTGTCACTGTTGTCCCTGTTGTCACCGTTGTCACTGTTGTCACCGTTGTCACTGTTGAAACTGTTGCCACCATTGTCACCGTTGTTACTATTGTCACCGTTGTTACTGTTGTCACTGTTGTCACTTTTTTTACAGTTGTCACCGTTGTCACGGTTGCCACCATTGTCACAGTTGTCCCTGTTGTCACTGTTGTCCCCGTTGTCACCCTTGTCACTTTTGACACTGTTGTCACCATTGTCACTTTTGTCACTGTTTTTATTGTTGTCACTGTTGTCACTGTTGTTACTGTTGTCACCGCTTTCACCGTTGTCTTCGTGATCACCGTTGTCAGTGTTGTCGGTGTTGTCATTGTTGTCACTGTTGTCACTGTTGTCACCGTTGTCACTGTTGTGACCGTTGCCACTGTTGTCACCGTTCTCACTGTTGTCACTGTTGTCACTGTTGTCACTGTTGTCACTGTTGTCACTGTTGTCACTATTGTCACTGTTGTCACTGTTGTCACCGTTGTCACCGTTGTCACTGTTGTCACTGTTGTCACCTTGTCACCATTGTCACTTTTGTCACTGTTTTTTCACTTTTGTCACTTTTGTCACTGTTGTTACTGTTGTCACCGTTGTCACCGTTGTCACCGTTGTTTTTGTCACCGTTGTCACTGTTGTCACCATTGTCACCGTTGTCACCGTTGTCACTTGTTGTCAATGTTGTCACCGTTGTCACCGTTGTTACCGTTGTCACCGTTGTCACTGTTGTCACCATTGTCACTGGTGTCACCGTCGTCACTGTCACCATTGTCACTATTGTCACCGTTGTCACCGTTGTTAGTGTTGTCGGTGTTGTGACTGTTGTGACTGTTGTCACCCTTTTCACTTTTGTCACTGTTGTCACCATTGTCACCGTTGTCACCGTTGTCAATTTTGTCACTGTTGCCACCATTGTCACCGTTGTTACTATTGTCACCGTTGTTACTGTTGTCACTGTTGTCACTTTTTTTACAGTTGTCACCGTTGTCACGGTTGCCACCATTGTCACAGTTGTCCCTGTTGTCACTGTTGTCCCCGTTGTCACCCTTGTCACTTTTGACACTGTTGTCACCATTGTCACTTTTGTCACTGTTTTTATTGTTGTCACTGTTGTCACTGTTGTTACTGTTGTCACCGCTTTCACCGTTGTCTTCGTGATCACCGTTGTCAGTGTTGTCGGTGTTGTCATTGTTGTCACTGTTGTCACTGTTGTCACCGTTGTCACTGTTGTCACCGTTGCCACCTGTTGTCACTGTTGTCACCGTTGTCACTGTTGTCACTGTTGTCACTGTTGTCACTATTGTCACTGTTGTCACCGTTGTCACCGTTGTCATCGTTGTCACAGTTGTCACTGTTGTCACTCTTGTCACCATTGTCACTTTTGTCACTCTTTTCACCGTTGCCACTTTTGTCACTGTTGTTACTGTTGTCACCGTTGTCACCGTTGTCACCCTTTTCACTTTTGTCACTGTTGTCACCGTTGTCACCGTTGTCACCGTTGTCAATTTTGTCACTGTTGTCACCGTTGTCACCGTTGTCACCGTTGTCACCGTTGTCACTGTTGTCACCATTGTCACTGGTGTCACCGTCGTCACTGTCACCATTGTCACTATTGTCACCGTTGTCACCGTTGTTAGTGTTGTCGGTGTTGTGACTGTTGTGACTGTTGTCACCGTTGTAACAGTTTACACAGTTGTCACCGTTATCACTGTTGTGACCGTTGTCACTGTTGTCACACGTGCCACCGTTGTCACAGTTGTCACTGTTGTCACTGTTGTCACCGTTCTCACCGTTGTCACATCTGTCACTGTTGTCACTGTTGTCACTGTTGTCACCGTTGTCACCGTTGTCACCGTTGTCACTGTTGTTGCTGTTGTTACCATTGTCACCGTTGACACCGTTGTCACCGTTGTCAATTTTGTCACTGTTCTCACCGTTGTCACCGTTGTCACCGTTGTCACTGTTGTCACCATTGTCACTGGTGTAACCGTCGTCACTGTTTTCACTGTTGTTACCGTTGTCACCGTTGTGACCATTGTAACTGTTGTCACTGTTGATACCGTTCTTATTGTTGTAACCGCTGTCACCGTTGTCACCATTGTCACATTTGTCTCTGTTTTTATTGTTGTCACTCTTGTCACTGTTGTTACTGTTGTCACCGCTTTCACCGTTGTCTTCGTGATCACCGTTGTCAGTGTTGTCGGGTTGTCATTGTTGTCACTGTTGTCACTGTTGTCAACGTTGTCACTGTTGTAACCGTTGCCACTGTTGTCACCGTTCTCACTGTTGTCACTGTTGCCACTGTTGTCACAGTTGTCACTATTGTCAATGTTGTCACCGTTGTCACCGTTGTCATCGTTGTCACAGTTGTCACTGTTGTCACTCTTGTCACCATTGTCACTTTTGTCACTGTTTTCACCGTTGTCACTTTTGTCACTGTTGTTACTGTTGTCACCGTTGTCACCGTTGTCACTCTTGTCACTTTTGTCAGTGTTGTCACCATTGTCACCGTTGTCACCGTTGTCACCGTTGTCAATTTTGTCACTGTTGTCACCGTTGTTACTGTTGTCACCATTGTCACTGTTGTCACTATTGTCACTGGTGTCAACGTCGTCACTGTCACCATTGTCACTATTGTCACCGTTGTCACCGGTGTTAGTGTTGTCGGTGTTGTGACTGTTGTGACTGTTGTCACCGTTGGAACAGTTAAGACAGTTGTCACCGTTATCACTGTTGTGGCCGCTGTCACTGTTGTCACACATGCCACCGCTGTCACAGTTGTCACTGTTGTCACTGTTGTCACCGTTGTCACCGTTGTCACTGTTGTCACTGTTGTTACTGTTGTTACCATTGTCACCGTTGACACCGTTGTCACCGTTGTCAATTTTGTCACTGTTCTCACCGTTGTCACCGTTGTCACCGTTGTCACTGTTGTCACCATTGTCACTGGTGTCACCGTCGTCACTGTTTTCACTGTTGTTACCGTTGTCACCGTTGTGACCATTGCAACTGTTGTCACTGTTGTTACCGTTCTTTTTGTTGTAACCGCTGTCACCGTTGTCACTTTTGTCACTGTTGTCCCTCTTGTCACCGTTGTCACTGTTGTCACCGTTGTCACTGTTGACACTGTTGCCACCATTGTCACCGTTGTTACTATTTTCACCGTTGTTACTGTTGTCACTGTTGTCACTTTTTTTACCGTTGTCACCATTGTCGCGGTTGCCACCATTGTCACAGTTGTCATTGTTGTCACTGTTGTCACTGTTGTCCCCGTTGTCTACCTTGTCACTTTTGTCACTGTCACCATTGTCACTTTTGTCTCAGTTTTTATTGTTGTCACTGTTGTCACTGTTGTTACTGTTGTCACCGCTTTCACCGTTGTCTTCGTGATCACCGTTGTCAGTGTTGTCGGTGTTGTCATTGTTGTCACTGTTGTCACTGTTGTCACCGTTGTCACTGTTGTAACCGTTGCCACTGTTTTCACCGTTCTCACTGTTGTCACGGTTTCCACTGTTGTCACAGTTGTCACTTTTGTCAATGTTGTCACCGTTGTCACCGTTCTCACCGTTGTCACAGTTGTCACTGATGTCACTGTTGTCACCATTGTCACTTTTGTCACTGTTTTCACCGTTGTCACTGTTGTCACTGTTGTTACTGTTGTCACCGTTGTCACCGTTGTCACTTTTGTCACTGTTGTCACCATAGTCACCGTTGTCACCGTTGTCACCGTTGTCACTGTTGTCACCGTTGTCATTGTTGAAACTTTTGCCACCGTTTTACCGTTGTCACTATTGTCACCAATTGTTAGCGTCGTCAATGTTGTCACTGTTTTTACCGTTCTCACCGTTGTCACTGTTGTCACTGTTGTTACCGTGATCACTGTTGTCACTGTTGTCACCGTTGGTCATCGTTGTCACAGTTATCACAGTTGTCACTGTTGTCACCATTGTCACTGTTGTCACCGTTGTCACTGTTGTAAGCGTTGCCACTGTTGTCACCACTGTCACTGTTGTCACGGTTGCCACTGTTGTCACAGTTGTCACTGTTGTCACTGTTGTCACCATTGTCACTTTTGTCACTGTTTTCACCGTTGTCACTGTTGTCACTGTTGTTACTGTTGTCACCGTTGTCACCGTTGTCACTTTTGTCACTCTTGTCACTGTTGTCACCATTGTCACCATTGTCACCGTTGTCACCGTTGTCACTGTTGTTACTGTTGTCACCGTTGTCACCGTTGTCACCGTTGTCACTTTTGTCACTGTTGTCACCATTGTCACCGTTGTCATCGTTGTCACCGTTGTCACTGTTGTGACCGTTGTCACCGTTGTTACTGTTGTCACCATTGTCACTGTTGTCACCATTGTCACTTTTGTCTCTGTTTTTATTGTTGTTAGTGTTGTCACTGTTGTTACTGTTGTCACCGCTTTCACCGTTGTCTTCGTGATCACCGCTGTCAGTGTTATCGGTGTTGTCATTGTTGTCACTGTTGTCACTGTTGTAACCGTTGCCACTGTTGTCACCGTTCTCACTTTTGTCACGGTTGCCACTGTTGTCACAGTTGTCACTGTTGTCAATGTTGTCACCGTTTTCACCGTTGTCACAGTTGTCACTGTTGTCACTGTTGTCACCATTGTCACTTTTGTCACTGTTTTCACCGTTGTCACTGTTGTTACTGTTGTCACCGTTGTCACCGTTGTCACCGTTGTCACTTTTCTCACTGTTGTCACAATTGTCACCGTTGTCACCGTTGTCACCGTTGTCAC